CAAAGGGAAAATGAATAAATAAAACTATTGTTGAGGCTAAGGGTCTAAGGTGTTGCTTCCATGGTTGAGTGAGGGGTTGAGAAGGTGAACTAGTTCGATATTTTACAATCCAAAGAGGGGACTATTCCATGTCCACAAAGCCTGTGGCACTTGGGAAAACTTGTAAGTCTTTTGAGAACTATGGAGCACATCTGGGGAGGACTGACAATGGAGCTGGACAAGTACAGTGGGAAGAGCATTCGGGGAAAGAGGAGACCAGAGGTGATTTTGAACTGGTCCATAGCACAAGATGCTTCACTCAGTAGTTTTACTGTGAAAGAACAATGGTGGAATAGACTTTAATAATGGCCATTTTAAACTGATTATTGAAAAGTTTTTAATGTAGAGAAAATAGACTCAGAGAATCCAGTCATGGCCAATGTCGGTGACCTCACTTTTGTGAGGATAGGTCGTTCTCTAATCTACATTTGAGCCCAGATTCCATGTAGTATCTTAAACTGCTTCGGTGCACTTTCTCTCGGGGATGAGATTGGAGATATAAGGCCCTAGTGATATGGAGCATGTAGTGGGCATTCGACGCGTCTTTGTTGAAGAGTGGCACTGTTCTGGTGTATTTTCTTTCCTGAGGCTTAAGAATCATTCAGTTGAGCAAGAAAAGTGTTGTAACACAATCAAATGCATTCTAATGTGAGAAAAGCTATTTCAACTCACTTACCTCCAGGCTCAGCCTCATAGGCTTCCCTCCCTAAGGTTCTGCTAACAAACCAATCTATCCAGCTCCTCCATCAGTAATCCATGTGCCCTCTCTGGGTTTCAGTGCAAAGAGGAACTGGGTGGTGAACACAGAGTAGACGATGACCACACTGGCATCCGTGTATAGGACTATGGAGGACCAGGTACAATGATCTAAACTCAGACAGCCAGTGAGCAACAGCTTCAGAAAATGAGATTCCTAGCCCAGTAGCCCAGGGTCTGAATGGAGAACTAACTTGAAGATGTTCTCAAACACAGCAACCTCCAAGTCAGATGTTAATGTTACTAAATCTGAAGGAAAAGGGTTGAGTTCTTCTGGATAATGAACTGTGGGCAGCCAATATTTGAAAGACCAGCCCAGAAGACTCTGATAATAAGAAAGTAGATGCTTGATAGATAAGCGAGATGGTTGCTTGTGTCTATCAAAGGCAGTAATTATGCAATGCCTGGTATGACCTGGTGATCTCACGATGGGAGCTGATTAGAGAACAATAGCTTTAATTGAGGAAATGAAGAATAAGCTCAGGTAAATTATTTAATTGCACAACTGTGAGAGGGAGGATGATATTCTGTTTTATTCACTCCTGTTGGAGTTTTTAACAGGAAGTAAACACCTCTTCACTTAGAGTGATTGGCTTTGTGTAAGAAGGAAAGGAGTGTGTCTCTCTGTTAGAAGAGTTCTAATGCTCGACCTATTGCACAACTGGCAATGAGTGATTGCTACTACTCAAACTACTGTTAGTTAGAGATGAAAGGCTCAGGCTCACTGATGGCATTTAAACAGCTATTTCCACACTGCCTCGGGGTCTATGTTAGCATCGCTTTGAAATGTTTCCATTGTTTCTCCATCATCCTGAGCTGCCCACCCAGGTGCCTCCTATTCATCTGCACATCACGGTCCCTGCATCCTGTCAGTGCCTTATTTGTAAGCATCTCCGGGATGCTTTAACTAACTTAGTCAGTCACCTCTTCAGCCAGCCAGGCTAGTGGAACATCAGGCCACTAGAGTGGATGTCTGTGTCCTATAGTGCAGCTTCAGATTTAATTGTAGCATCTGGCACCAGGTGAGGAAGGTAGATTGGGTTCTTTCTGCTCTCCGGGAACTGGCATGTTTAGTCAGATAATTCTTGCCTTTCTTTCTTCAGAAGAAAGGGGAGTTGGTGGGAACCAGTGCACAACTTAAATTTTTTTGTTTTGTTTTTTTTTTAAGATGGGGTCTTGCTATGTAGCCCTGGCTAGCTTCAAACTCACAGAGATCCACCTGCCTCTGCCTTCATGTGGTTTTTTAAACTTTAAGATGTTGAAATTATTCTTCTTCCTCTTCCTTTTCCTCTCTCTGTCTCTCTGCCTCTCTCTCTCTCTCTCTCTCTCTGTGTGTGTGTGTGTGTGTGTGTGTGTGTGTGTGTGTGTGTGTCCTTCCCTGCCTCCCCAGGGAGGGGTGTGTGTGTGTGTATGTGGGGTAGTATTAGCTGCTTACCTCTGTCACCCTGTCATTCTGCATTGCTCTTTTGGGGTAGTTTAAACTTGGAACCTATTGGCTGGCAGCCAGCAAGTTAGAGGAATCCTCCTGTCTCCACTCCCAGCCCCTTCCCAGAAGCTATAGGGTTAGTAGTGAATGGGACTGTGCCTGGCTTTTATGGGGATGCCAGGGTCCACAATCCAGTCTTCACACTAACACAGCAAGCACTCTTAACCATGCACTCATCTCTCCAGCCCAACACTGCACTTTCCACCACCCAGGTGCTTACTGCTTTCTCTGGGGGCGTGTTTTCCCTCTACAGTGTGAACCTAGACCAAAGAGGGACTGATGGATCTACTCCACAGCTTTCGGGCTTCACCTTCACCTTCCCAAGCTTTCAGTAAAGCTCGAGTTACGTTCTCCATCAAGATGCCCAGTATTGCCTCATTACTCAGATCAGAAGTCCACACACTTTAACACACACAGAGCAAGAGGACACCCTCTTCTGCAAGGCAAAGGGACTTTTTCAAAACTTAAACCACAATGGCAAATGCAAAGAAATTGGAATTCCGGGTACCTAGTTATAATTATTTTTATTTTGTGTGTCCCTGTCCATTTGTAGAAATGAGGTTACTGGTGTGTTCCTATATCACAGGGTTCTGAAATCAATGTAATGCATACCTTACAAAATGTTTTAAACAAATGAAAAATGTAAAGCTTTTCTATTTGAGGATGACAGGTATAGCCAAAGTTGAGATGTGACAACTGTTGCCTCCTTCGGGCCTCGGGTGCAACTTCCTCAGCTGCCAGGAGCTTTTGGCCAAGACCCTTTCCAGGACTTGCTTTAGCTACAGAGAGTTAATCACACATCCCCCAGTTTGAGAGTATTAAGTGAGTGAGCCGGTCTGACTAGCTGATGGAGAACCCCAGAGGCAGGGGTCAGCCCCCTTAATTTGAGATAATCCCAAAGGCCCATTCCTGCCAGATGAGGACCTGCTATGGAGGCCACTTCTGTGACTGCATTGGTTCAGCTTCTCCCTCTATCCTGGCTACTTCTCTGGTCACCTCACACTATGACACAGAATTATTTGAGTTGATGTGTCCAAATTAGTTGTGGTACCACCTACATAGCTAGCAGATAACATTCACACCCAGAATTTTATATTTCACACCCAGAATTTTATATTTCAGCCTTCACATCAATAGCTTTACCTTAGGGGAGGGAAGACATCTCTAGGTAAGTAAGGAAGTCCCTGAAACCTCAAGGTGACACCTACATAAACCACATTGGGCAGGGGCAGTAGCTACCCATCTGTCCAAGAGGAGGATCATAGACCAAGTACCAGCAGGGAGTCCTGGTATGCAGAAGTCATTTCATGCAGTGGCATAGCCACTCAAAGTATTCCAAGTTGCCACCCTTTTAAGTAAGCAGTTTCAGCTTGTCCCTAGTCTTCCTTCCAAACTGATGCATCCCTTCGTACAATAAGTTATGATCTCTTGATCTTGAGGATTTCATGGTTGACTAAACTTGAATCTTGTCACACTGTGTACTAAACATCCTGGGACGAGTATGTGTGGGAGACAAGGAAGAGAGCAGCCAGGTGTCCAGAAGTGGAGGTGACAGAGAGACTTACCTCTAGGTACAGGGATTTTGTGGGTGACTAGGGGGAAAGGCCATTCTACCCAGGCGGAATGGTCTGTGCGAAGGTTATTAAATGCAAGCACATTTAATAGGGGCTCCACGCATATCAGTGTGAGTAGAGCAGACAGTGAGAGATGGCATCAGAAAGGCCGGCAGGGATGGGAGGACCCTGAGGATCTCCCAGGGAGGAGAATGGATTCCATCATAAGGAATGGACAGCCATTGAAGAACTGTGAATGGGGATAATGGACAGTGAGCAGTAGTGAGGTGGATAACACAGGAAGCAGGGGGAGATTGACAGCAACGAGAATGGTCAGGAGGCAATTGCTGGTAGCTCCAGTTCCAGGCAGTCCAACCCCTCTCCAGCATCTACAGGCAGCAGGCATGCTGTGGTACATATGCATATACACAAGCAAAACACCCATATGCATAAAATAATAGCAAGTAGATATTTTTAAATAATGCATATTTACTTCAGTTATTACAACTCATGACAGGTAAGTTTAAAAAGAGGTTTCATTTTCTAGATTAAGGGCAGAAAATCAAAATAGGTATGAAATAAGCATTGCATATTAAGTCAGAACTTTTTTTATCTGACACATAAAAAAAAATACATTTGTTTGTGACACCTGTATACTTGCATGACTGATACAGACTTTACAGCAATATCAACCTCTAATGTGTGGCATGTTCTAGAAATGCCTATTTCACTGTATTAATATTTTAGTGATACACACTTACTATTTGGCTTTTCCCAGTGTCCATTTCTGTGATGTCTTCCACAAACCATCTGCTGTGTTTATGAAAACACAGACTCGACATCCTACGTCCTATCATATATTGGCATCACAAGTGTATGTGTGTTTAAACACATCAAATTCCATGCTAAAATTCATTACTAGGGAAGCATGGCAATACATGGGGAGGCAGAGCAGGTGGATCTCTGTGAATTTGCAGCCAGCCTGGTCTACAGAGGGAGTTCCAGGACAGACACGACTATAGTAACACTTGTCTTTAAAAAAAAAAATGTTAACTGTAAGTATCCTTTGTGTCCATACATTTTAACAAATATAGGTTGATGCAAAAGTATCATCAAGTTTATGACACTTAATCATGGTTTGCTTGGATTTTTCCCGCTAACTTAAGAGCTACAAGAAGCTGTTGAAGAGGTCCTGCCAACCCTGAAAAAGGACGGCGTGTCCATCTTTTATGTAAGCAAAACTTCGAACACAAATGGTGTGGACACATTACTGGACAAAGTGGACGGAGTGTCGGCAGAACCTACTCCAGAGTCCTGGAGGTCTGAAGTCTCTTTTAACACGCCTGCAGTGTACATTTATACTTCGGGGACCACAGGTAAGTAAGAGAGGATTTCTAAGGCACAGGCCTGTCCTGGAAAAACTAACAGCTGACCTGGCCTTTTAAATATTCTGTTTCCCTAGCAAAACTTATCAAATAACTAATACTTCAGGGGATTTAGATCTTAGCCCATGAAAACTGATCTTATTTTATCACACATGATCTCATTTGCTTTTCCCCAGCTCTACACACCCCTACTCAGTTGCTGTAAAACATATAAGCAGTTAACCAATAACTACAGAAGTAGTTGAGATGATGGATAAAATTTGGCTCTGAATGGGCTGTTAGAAATTTTTAATGCTCATTGTCTTTTGACCCATTACAGAGTTCATCTGTAATATGTAATTGATATAAATGGGACATACCAGAGGCCAACTATGGGGAGATATTTACATAAATGTCTAGACTGATTTTTCCCATACAGTATAAACGTAGTGTTTTAGGCCCTGTGTGTCATCAAGTGTAGGATGCCATCATTGTGCATATTATAAGCTGTTGACGAAGCACTGCAGTAACTGCTACTTGAAGCAAGCAATGCCCCATGTCACTGTAACCAGCATTTTTCAAGGGACTCAAAGACATTGCTCATTCATCTCCCTCCTGCCCTTGCATCTGCCCATTCCATAAACTCAGAAACTTACAAAGACATTAAGAACTTCCCAGGACAAGAAGTAAAGTGTCAAGATCCACCTTGTGGGCTAGCTCCAGGCTCATAAATTAAGATGGTAACACCCCCCTGCCTAATAATGTAATAAATATTCAGAGTCTGCCTAGCAAAAGCCAGGGAAAGTATTACCAAAATGTAATAAGCTGAAGCCTTCGGGATATGTGGGAAGGAAGACAGGGAGCCAGCCCCACATGTTAATAGTGATGGTCATTGTTATTATTGTGAAGAAATTAAATTATGAGTTATGTATACATTGTCCATGTAATTAATCAAAGGTTAAAGTTGAAGGTTCCGTTGAGCCTGTTATCTCAACACCAGCCCACAGAATCTCTGTCCTTTGCTCCAGCAGGCCTTCATTCGCCATCTGATAGATGGCAGTTGCTAGGCCCCAGTTTAGCATGAATGTGGGTAACCCTTCACACTGACATTTTCTTATTTACTGAATATTTCCTTTAAATAAATAAGGACAAGGATAAGGGGGCTGGAGTGATGGCTTAGCTGTTAAAGACTAGGCTCTCAACCAAAATGTAAGAATAAGAAAAAGGGACTTTTACCTTCACTCCAGAAGAATAATAGAATGCATAGATGAGATTGCAAACTTTGATTATTGTTGGGATGAAATGAGCTTTTGATTAGTGATAAAGAAATGCAATCCTACACTGGAAATTATGGAACTTCTTCACAATACATGTTTTGCCAAGGAAATGGAAAACGTGTTCAGAAGTGTTTTCTAACACTCTAAAAATTAGTTCCATAATTCAGGAAATTATTTAACAGGAAAACAGTAAGACTGATGTTTATTTTATTGTTGTACCTATGGATGAAATACCTGCCAGATATTACTCCTGTGTAAAAGTAATTAAATGAGACCATTTAAGCTCTTAGAAACCAACGGTTTTCCTTATCCTCATGGGAAATCAGTAACATAAAATTATGTAAGTGTTACAAAATACTCTTCTTGGTTGATTAGTGTACAATCTTAAATTAGGAAATTTCTGAAAATACTCAAGCTCAGAAGGTGAGTTTTTGTTGTTGTTTTGGTTTGGTTTTGGTTTTGGGTTTTTTGTTTTGTTTTGTTTTTAATGCAACTCTAGCCAGGTGGTGGTGGCCCAAGCCTTTAATCCTAGCACTTGGGAGGCAGAGGTAGGGAATTTGAGGCCAGCCTGGTCTACAGAGTGAGTTCCAGGACAGTCAAGATTGTTACACAGACAAACCCTGTCTTGCCATTTTTTAAAAATGCAATTCTGAACTTTTACTATTCAAATGATTCTTTTCTGTGGTAAGGACACTTGGTTTGCTGATAGTTTCTTCTATTTCTTTTATTTTTTTTTTTTAATCCTGTGTTTCACATCATGTATCTTTGTCCCATTCATTCCACATCCCTTTGCATCTGCGCTCTGCCCCTTGATGCCCCCCAATAAAACAAAATTCAAGAGTTTAAAAAAAAGGAAGAAAATAAAATGAGAAAAGTAAAAAGGGGGAGATTAAAAATCTTGTCATAGAAGCTGGTGTCTTCTGTGTTTTAATGCTAGTATAGAATGGGGCATTATCATGAGTTCAGTGCCCTGTAGCACTGACAAAGGAGATGAATTTGGAACTGTGTCTACAGTGATAGATGGCTTGCTGCCCACACAACAAATTATTATATGGTCAATGCCTGGGTAAGTGCTGATTCCTCAAGGACCTGCCTTCCCCGTCACAAATCAGAGTTGCCTATTTGGATCTTAAGCTCTAGCTCGGCCCCTACATAATGACTTCCTCCTCACCCCTAAGTCAATCTTCCATGAGAAGCAATGAAAGCCTACTTTTAAAGGAAAGTCCTTTTTAATTGTGCAAATCATTATTAGGAAAATGCTCATTCGCTTAGTTTAACATACTAAAACTACAGTAGAAACCATTTATGTTTTTCAGGTTGGCAGAGAGCCCAGTGTCTGAGCATTCATTGGCAAGGCTATGAGGAAGAATTTTCATTTTTTACAGGCCAGAAACTGAATGGGGATCCTTCTTATAAGTCAGTGTACTGTTTACCAACTCAGATTACAAATACATGGGTTTTGGCCTATAACATCATTTATAGTGCGGATTGCAATGTGAACAAGGCAATTCACGATCGAATCACTTGAAATAGAAAAATTAAATAAATAAATCATAACTTTCTCATATAACAAATATAAGGCATCTGGGAGAAGAAATAAATGGTTGGATACATGAGGGAAATCTATAAATGTGACTATCTTCCAAGAAAAAAACCACACTATATTTGTATTTTGAATGAAATTGACAACTATATACCATTCGTTACAAAGAAAGGGATTGGTGGTCTGCACTATTGAGTCTCTCAGACTTCCCTTCCTCATCTGTGGGTTGGACAATGTAATTCAATTTATCTCTTAAGCTGAAATTTTTGAAAACGCTTACCAAGTAGTGAGCCCAAGACAGGAGCCATTCTCTTCAAACCACTGCTGTGTCATCTGCCTGTCTCAGGACTCAATGGGCTGTGCCTGGAGAACCAAATACAGCTTCCAGGTGTTCTTAAAGCAGCGCAACCATTAAGCCTTTATGTATGTGCACAGTTGCTTTCAGCACACTAGCAGATATGGGTCAGCACAACAATGACCATATGACCCCACAAAACCTAAAAAATTTACTCTCGGGTGTTTTTGAGAATTAAAAAAATAAATGAATATACCTGTGATCTCACTGCTCATTCCCCCACCCCCATCCCACCTTCAAGCAATTCTTCCAGAGTGATGGGAGGGAACTGTATGCACTGAATCTCTTCTCCCACACTATACATGGCCAGCCCAGCTCACTGATGCTTCTCCTCTGTCTTTGCAAAGGTCTCCCAAAAGCTGCAACCATCACTCACCATCGCCTGTGGTATGGAATCGGCCTTGCTTTGGCAAGTGGAATTAAGGCCCATGATATAATCTACACCACTATGCCCCTGTACCACAGTGCAGCACTTATGATTGGTCTCCATGGATGCATTGTGACTGGTAAGTTCTGTTTCTCTCACCAGACATCCAGAATTGACACCCATTCACTTCTGCTCATAAAGAAAAGCAAATCCAGCCACCTTCCTGTCTGCCAGAGACAGTATTCACTTTTGCTTCAGTTACAAAGCTCTGTGGGTCACACATCACAAGCATGCATCTAATACAATTTCGATTTTCCCATGCCTTAACTATTCAGTGTATCTAGGGAGAAATTCCTTTTCTTAGATTCTGTAAACAATTCTCCAAACTTCAGAAACTTGCATATCATTCTCCGTCAGTATTGAAGACTCTCCACGTTGCCCTTATTCTTTATTTGTCCTTACTTCCACAGCTTCCTGCCATTAGTCAGAGTGGCTGGCCTGCCATCGGCTTCTCTTTCCTACTCAGACATCACCGTCCAAATACAGGAGTCAGCATCATGTATCCCTTCAGGAGAATTCATGTTGCTTTTACCCATAAAGGTTCAATCCCATATCCCCCCCCCTTTGAGAAAACTATTCCTTATTCTTTCATATTCTTTCACTGAAATCAATGACTTCTCTCCCATGTGATGTTTCATTTTAAATAAGCCTGTAAAGTAGACATGTTTATTTGAAATAAAATATATATATAGCACATATATACATATACATACATGTGTATTTAATAGGCTGAATGTTTGCAATTCTGAGCCCTGGTGGGAGAGCGTTAAAGGCAAGGCCTTTAGAAGTATTAGGCCGAATATGTGGAGTTTTGAACATTGGATTGGTGCCCTGATGATCAGTAGAGAGTCTCCTCACTGGTTCTTCTCTCCTCCTTAATAGGGCATGGAAAGACAATGGCTATTCCCAAAAAAAAAAAAATGTCCTTGCTGATTCCTTGCTTTTGAACCTCGTGGCCTCTAAAACTGGGAGAAATTGTTGTTTTTAGTATAATCTAGCCTATCTATGATCACTTTTTATAGCAGCTTGAACTAAAACTCATGGTCCAAGCATCTATTTCTTTCCTTCATCTACTGATTCACCAGCTCTGAGCTACTCTGCCTGGCAACATCCCACCCTTCAGGAGCAAAGCATGGCTGGGCGTGGGCATACTCCTGGATCTTCAAGAGCAGGGTGGTTATGGGGCTCTGAAGCAGACAAATAAGTATCTTCAGCACTACAGACACAGGCAAAAGGAGAGGAGATATTATGGAAAGTCTCTTCTTGATACTAGTCATTGGAATATTTAGGAGTAAAATCAGTGAATGACATGGACAATAGGTATGGGCTCAGTGGCTTCCAGCAATACAGGTTTGTTTTCTCATTGTTCTAGAAGTCAGAAGCCCCAAAACCAGCTGTCTCTTGCTGGGTGCTCTCCTTCTGCTGCTGGAGATCTGTGTCCAGGTCTTGTCCACTGTTAGAGGTTGCCTGGATGCCTTGATTCATGGTCCCGTCTTTCATCTTCAAGTCATACCCTCCAACCTCCACCCATTTATTTTCTCTCCTCTTTAGATACCCTACAATTGTGTAAGGAGACAGACTGAGAAAACTTTCCTAGCTCCAAACCCTTAGCCTAATCACATAATCACATGCATTGCCACACAAGGTAATATGGTCATGGGCTATAATAGCATCTCTGTCTCTCTGTCTGTCTGTCTGTCTGTCTGTCTGTCTCTCTCTCTCTTCTTATCCCTCCCTTCCTCTCTTCCTAGGATCCCTCTTCCTCTCCTCCATCGCACAAGCCTCATTTGAGCCCCCTAGATTGTATTAGAATGATTTCCCATGGATCCTCTCCCTTTCCACAGATCGGAGGCTCACATGGGTGAAAACAAGTCTCCATTATTCTTTGCATTAAATGTAAGAGGCACTCCACACATGTTGGATTCCATTCATTTTTAAATTTCTCCATTCCTTCCCTCATGTTTTCTTTGCTTTGTTTTTGTTTTGTTTTGTCTTTAGGGGCTACTTTTGCTCTGCGAAGCAAGTTTTCAGCCAGCCAGTTTTGGGACGACTGCAGGAAATACAATGCCACTGTCATCCAGTACATCGGTGAACTGCTTCGGTACCTGTGCAACACACCCCAGGTAACACTCCCTGTGTTTCCATATCTTTTCAAAGTCAATAAGATGTTCAAGCCTGCCAGGATTGTGCTGGGCTTCTGCTGGCACATCTATCTCAGTTCTCAGTTTAGATGACAGCTGTCTGTTATGATAACTGGCTGAATGCTTATTTACCATCTAGAAGTACGTGGATGGAGAACAGTGACTGTTAATTTTATTGCAGTGTTTATCCTCTGTCTTGTTACATGTTTTCATACCTTCCCCTTCTCAGGTCCTCCTCTTTCCTTCCTGCTTGTGAAAAGCCACTGTCAACCCCACCTCAAACAATAGGTCATATGTTAACCTATTTGAGTCACTCCAGCAAAAGTCGTTCATCCTTTCTATCTATGTGTTCGGCCTCTCATGTTGCACATGTGTTTCTTGCCTCCTGTCTTCCCTGGACTCTAACTTTTTAGTAGTTTTGTCTCCCTTACCCTCCCTTCCACCAAAGCTGTTTAGAAAACTTTCAGTTGATGCTGTTTAATGAATAAATCTACTCCCAGCTTCAAAACAAGTATACAAATCTGTTTCAAGGTAGCTCCAAGGGTCTTAGGTCTACCCTGCCCTTCCTGGAGCTATCCAGATACCTTGACAGGGTTGTTCTTGAGAACTCCCACTGCACAGTCCCTGGTAGCTAGCTGCCTTGGGACCTGATCAGGGTTTCTTAACAATACCACTGCTGTTGTTTGGAGCCTGCTAATTTTTGGCTGTGTGGATGTATTCTATGCCGTGAGGATGCTTAGTGGCTTCTCTGACCTTCATTCTTAAAATATCAGTAGTGGCATCCCCTTCTGCCAGTCTATGATAATTACAATGTCTATAGATATTGCCAAATGTCCCAAGCAGGCAAGTCTCGTCCTTGTTGAGAACCACTTGACTAAACGTACAGTACATCCACCAGATTTTAACCTCTTTAAAGAAGCAAACTCAAAGGACCTCTGAGTCAATTAACCACTATTGGTGCTAAGCATCTGTTACATTCAACTTATATACCGAGTGCTATGTGGCAAAGAAAGAAGAAAAAGCCTCCCCTCCCCCACCAGGCTTCCTCCCCTCATGTCACTCAGCCATCTGAGCCCAGATGCCAGCTCACTGGCAGCCCCTTCTACCAATAATTCATTTTGCCTATCCTGATGCTCCGTCTGGTTGCAACATCTCATGGCACTTATCACACTTTCTGACTCTATCAGATTGTTGTCTGTCTTCCTCCCCCACTAGTGAAATTCCATGCAAAGGATTTAATCACTGCTCCTTGGTGTGTGGGGATGAGAAACCAGCATCCCCGGCACCAACAAATTTGGCTGACTGGACCTCTAAATTCTTGCTTGGGGGGCGTTGGGGGGTTACTTAAGTTTAGGGAAGTAATTTTTTTATTTCAAAATGTTGAGGCTTGGCATACTTGTTTTATTTTTATTTTTTTATTTTGAAAATTCAGCAGATGCATAAAGGTCATAATTATCTGTGGGCTAAAGCAGGACCTTTTCCCTCACAGCATTTTCAACATTAGTATTTCACCTGGTCCTCATGATAACATATCTATCTGTTATAACACAGAACTCTCTCCTTGGCATTTCTTCTCTGCTGTAAAGGCATCTGCCTTACCAATTAGAAGTCTCCTGGGGGATTGTGTTATTCTATTGGTTTTAAAGGTCTCCCTTGAACTGGAAAAAATAAATACACTTGTGTGTGATGTTTATGCTCTTCATCTATAAACATATACACACTCAGATTGTTCCTCTTCTTACACTTTCCAATACTGTGTGCTCTGAGGTATAATCTGTGTATAGACCCTTGTCTAGGACTGAGCACTGTCTGTCTGTGGACTCCTCGTAAGAAGTGTAAGGAATGAACCAAATAATCTCAAAAGCTCTCAATGAAGATATTTTGTGAATCATGAGTCATTCTGCGTGTCCCAGATTCTATGTACTTGGGGGCAAGTTTCCAAAAGGTTGTCTTGGCACCTGTTTACATGTGAAAACACTACATGTACCAAAAATAATTAAAATAAAAGACACACTTGAAAGAGCTTCTCAAAAAAGAACTCTGGATCAATGTGACCAGGACTGCCTCACCTTCAGAGGCACTGAAGAATAGGCTGTCTGTAGAGGGGCTGACACCACCAGCAGCCAGAGAACTGACCAGGCAAACCAAATGGCTCTCCTCAGCATGGCTCACCAGGAGACCCTAGGGCCAGCCCTGAAAAGTGGAGGCCGCTGCCACTGTTCAGTTGCTTTTCTGGTAGAGCAGAGGACATGGAAGAGCAGGGCCCAGGAACAGTTCTTCAGGTCACTGGCTCATATTGGGCTCCCAGGAAAATACTACATCAGAGAAAGGACCCAGAGTCTGCAGGCCCCCACCCTGCTTCTGCTGTTTGAGCAGTATAGTCAGCCTCTCGAAACGTCAGCTCCCCAGCGGCCAGCACTGACAAGATGCTACTTTTCCTTGTGTTGAGTCTGATACAACATGAGATTGCGGACAGAAAGCAGAGTGAAGCATTTGCCTGTAGTAAACGTGTAACAGATGACAGTCATTGCCATATTATCACTGCACTACGTGCCTGCTAGTGTGCATGTGCTGGGCCATACGTAGTCTTTGAGAGACTCAATGGCAGTGTGTCTGCCCCTTGTACACAGAAGAAATGAGACCGTCTTCTCTTATCACATTAATCTCTCTCTTCTCGATTTTAATGAGGCACAGGATAGCAAGGCTATTCCTGACTGAAGTGGTTTTAAGGTTGCATAGCTGAACCTTCTCTATTCTGCCCATTTTCCCTTGTAACATTATAAATGAACAGCATCCATTTATAATGAAAGGTCACTCTGCTTCATGCCTCAGTGAGAAGTTGGTCCCACTCCTATGCTGTTTATGGTGTTGCCTAAAAACAGTATCCTTTAAGGAAAAACTACTTTTAAAATTTTCCCTTTTTGCATTTATTTATTTAATGTGTATGGGTGTTTTGCCTGCATGTATGTCTGTGTGTCACATGTGTGCCTGGTGCCAGCAGAAGTCAGAATGGGAAGTTGTATCCCCTAGAGCTGGAGTTACAGATGTTTGTGAATCATCACATGGGTGCTGGGAACCAAACCTAGGTCCTCTACAAGAACAGCCAGTGTTCCCTAAGGCACAGCCATCCCTCAGTTCCCCTCCTTTAGGAAAAAAGAGAAGTATATAATGGTGAAAGGTGTTGCTAAAGCTGAGTGCTTCGGTCCTCTTAGTGACGGCAAGGGTTCTCAATGAGATTTGTGTATCTGCTGTGTGTGGCCAACAGTAAAGGGAAGAGTTGCAAGAACCACAAGTAAAAGTTGAGGTATTTGGACGGGGGATTGAGATAAGCAGAGCACTGGATCTGGAGAGACTCATCTTGCCTCCCTAGAGATGTCATCCCTTGCTCTTAGCATGTGATGACCTCTCAGATCTCTTTCAGCCTGAGAGTCTGTTTCTGAATCACCCGAATTCTGGCAGAAACAGGCCAGAGTGGTGTGTGCCAGCACAAGATGCAGAGTAAACAGAGGCAAAACAGAAAAAACGAAGGAAGAGAGCAGAATCGGGAAGGTTTGCCAGAGACCGTGAGCTATGATAGGTCACAAAGTTCTCCTGGCATGCAGACAAAGGTGGCTTCTGATTATCTGGAATGGAATGGAGAAGCTGGAGTGTTAGCGCTTGCAGACAGCTCTGTGGGTCAGCTGAGCCTGTCTTCCAGGCAACAGAGAGAGACTTCACTATGCCGCATCTTAAATGTGAACAGGACAGATTGTGACTAGAGAACCTCACATGGAAGGGTGAGGTGGGACATACATGGAATTTTTAGATAGAGTTGGGGCTGCACTAGGGAGGGGGGGTCACAGGAAAGAGAAAGGCTTCTTGTATAAAGAGAGCTCTTAATAATATTGGCCTAAAAAATCAAATTGGTCTAAATAGTAAAAACCTAGAGTCAGATATAGAGGAAACGGCTGGGAAATCAGAGAGAAGAAGCCACCTCTACCTCATTAGCTTCCCATCAGAAAAGAGAGCAAGTTCCTGTTTCTTCCCACTTATTCCTCTTCCTACCCAGTCATGTCACTTCCTATCTCTCTATGCAGACCTCCAGACCTCTATGATTAGCTAGTGGCAAGCTCCATCTCTGGTCTTCAGATAAGCTTTAATTATACAAGCATGATATCACCACAGCCTCCCTTATGTACACCACAGTGGATGTTAAGAACATGGACTCAGGAATTTTTGAAAATAATGACATTTCACCTTGTGGAATTCACACAAAGACAAGGAAGCCAAGGGGGAAAGCACATGGCTATATTATCTAAAAGACTAAGAGAGGTCTGAGCAGAGAATTCAGCAGTTAAGGCCATTTGGACCCAGAGTTGATTCCCAGCATCCACATGGTAGATCACAACCGTCCATAACTCCAGTTCCAGGGGTTCTGCCATCCCCGTATGGCCTCCTCCACCACCAGGCAAGCACATGGTGCACAAACATACATGCAGGCAAGCAAAACACTCACATATATCAAATAAATAAATATTTTTAAAGATAAGAGATATTGCAACCTTGGACTACATAATACAGAAATCTGAAAGATGGAGGGGACTAATGGGGTAGGGCCAAGAAAGGTAAAACCTAAGAGAAAAGTAACATGATAAAATTTGGGTGGAGAGATACTCATTCTCTAAAAACAGGTGAATTCTAACAGCTCCCCTGCAAGCAAGAAGACAATGATGTGATGACTTCAGAATTCTAAGCAAAAGCTATTGTCCATCTAGAATTCTATACCCAGCTGTAGTATCAGTGTTTACTATAGCAATATTTTCAAACTGGGCCTTGTTACACAGGCCTGTAATCCAAACTACTTTGGAGTAAAGTTTGATGAATCAAGAGTTAGAAATGTAAACATTAAAGTTAGAAAAGTGGAGATAAGAAAAACACTAAGAAGTATCTGCCTCAGAGCAGCTAGCTAAGGGCAAAGGGTTAGGACAGAGAAAGGGAGTGAGCATAGTATGCTTCATTCAAAAGCCCTTCCGGTACTAATTGATTTTGATGTTGTATGCTGTTTTTTTCTCTCACTTTTTTCTCCTCTTCCTTTTTTTTTTTTTTTTTAATCCCAGGCTGGCCTCTGGCCTCAAACTCTGTAAACAGCCTGAGGATGACTTTGAACTTCTGATACTTCTGCCTCTTGAAAATGCTGTCTGAATCCAGATAGAGGTGTATTTGATTCTTGGAACAACTCTTTTGCTGGCATTGTAACCCTGGGCCTTTCACTATAAGCTTTCCAAGGCTCTTCAACTCTCCTCAGTTGAAATATGAGATAAATACTTGATGACCTGTCTTGTCTGGTGGGCTTTAGAAAATAAAGTAAGATGACACAGGCCAGACAAGCCCTCCGTGAAACTATTCTGCTTCCTTTGGTTCTCCGCATTCCTCCCAGGACACTCTGACCTCTCACCTTTCCTTAGTCACTAAATGCCAGTGGGAACCTAAGCCCCAGGTGTGTTTGCATATCTCATCTCAGCTCTGATGTAGAAGACGGTCAGTATAGGGAAATGATAGAGAAAATGACCCACAAGTCAATTCCTTAGGAAAGCGGCTTTGGTGTTAGAAAGTACCATGTCCCCAGAGGAAGAAAGAGTCTGAGTCACATTTCACTCTCAGCTACTAACAAGCAAAATGAAGTCAAAATTCTTACAAGTTCCCAGACCTCATTTACATCCAGAAACATTTCTAACCTTCAAACCTCAATCCCTTCTGCTGGTGTAACAAGACCCCCCCGGGCTGTACTGTGAAAACTGAGCCCATGGTATTATGATTATAAACCCAGCTACCTGCCACCCACAGGTGTCCTGCTGCACCTGTGAGGCTGGCCAGGCGCCCACTCACCTGGCACCTGCACCCTTAAGTCCTCTGCCTTGTGTGGATGCCCCAGCCGTGAGCTGCTGAGCATTTCCTGGTGGAAGTTACTTGTTTAACCACAGAGATTATGCAAATGTCAAACACAGGCCCAAGCCCCGTGGAGGATTCAGAGATATGTTTGGTCTCTAGTGAGGATGCATCGGATGAAAGTCACAGACAAGGCTATTAGACCAGGAAGTATGAGGGTGGAGAGCGGGGTATGGGCAGCACTTGTAACCAAGGGAAGGTCTTGAATTTACACATGAGAAGGCCTCTCTGCAGCATCTCACAGGCCTGGGAATTGGTGAACACCAAGATCAGGTGGCTGTTAAGTGGAAATAAGTATTTTTCAAATATTGGAATGCTCAAGTTTCAGAGTTCCCATGAAATAGAACAGGAAAGGAACTCTGGAAATCTGCTGGTCCTTTCTGAGGACAATAACATTTTCTGGGCAGGGAAACCCTACAATTAATGATAACACTAAAGTGATCGGTAATCGCCTTCCAGGACCAGCCCAGCAAACAGACCCACTCTCAACAGGTCCTAGGTAATTGTGAAAGGACACAGTGACCTGGGAGCTGGAGATGATGAAGAAATTATATGCCTCAGCAGACAGAGCACCCCAGTATTTAAACAGGTTCACAACCCCTCAACCAACTTTGACTTGAGGGTTATGGCCCCCCATACATTCTCCTCAGAAAGACTGTTCAAGGGACCATTTTCTTCAGTGACAATCTCTGTCTACCTCTCCAGCTAGAAAAGCCACAGTGACCTTTACCACCTAAGTCCTTTGACCAATCAAGCTACTTAAAAAGCAAATCCACACTGGCAATTTTTTTACTGAGCTTCTAGTGTCTTCTCGGTGGAACCAGTTTAAAGTTTGTTTTCTATTTGCCTTCTAGTTGTTACAGCCCTTCCCCCTTAGCAGAGACCAGCTGTCTCCTCACTCCCTCCCTCCCCCTCAACTCTTATCCCCAGGTTATTCCAAAGTCCTTTCTCAGCCTAGGAAGTAATGAAAGATCTGGACAAATTAGCCTATATGTTAATGCCAGCACTTAAAAGATGCTCAGGCAGGTGGATTGCCACAAGTCGAAGGTCAGCCTGGACTGCCTATCAAAGAAAAGAATGTGTACTAGGTGGGTTTTTGTCAACTTAATAATACAAGCTAGAAAGAAAGGAGCTTCATTTGAGGAAATGCCTCCATGAGATTCAACTGTAAGGCATTTTGTCAATTAGTGATCAATGGTGCCACCCCTGGGCTGGTGGTTCTGGATTCTACAACAAAGCAGGCTGAGCAAGCCAGGAAAAGAAAGCAAGGCAGTATCTGTATCCACTCCTGCGGCTAGGATCCTGACCTCTTGGAGTTCCTGTTCTGACTTCCTTCAGTGATGAACCGCAATACTGAAGTATAAGCCAAATAGACCCTTTCCTCTCTAGCTTGCCTTTTTGGTCATGGCATTTTATTGCAGCAACAGAGACCCTAACTAAGACAGAAAGGGGAGGGGAGAAAGCAACAGCAGCAGCAGGGCCACCAGCACCATCATGACCAAACTGATTTAAGCAAATAAATTTGCTTTTGATGAGAGAGAGGAGCTGTTGCTAACTAGCACGTCTACACTGTCCTAGGCTGTTTACTCTTCAAATAAAGGCACAACTTACAAATAAAAAATGATACCTTCTTTGGTGACCTGTTTTTTACACCAAGCTGTAGTCTTCTAAAGAAGATAATTTGCCTTCTCAATTCACCATTTGCCTTAAAATGGTTGGGCCATCTCTGTAGATACCTAACAAGTGAGTGCAAGTACATGAAGGAAGCATTGTGGTCCCCTCAACACCTCTGACTGTCAACAGGTCTGCTGTGGGTCCTTACACACAGAGCAGCTTTGCCTTTCTGATTTTCATTTATGACAAAGCCTCTTCCTCTTGGGCCCCCTGAGCAGCTAGAAGCTGGTGTCCTCCTCTTTCCCCTCTCATCCTTTCCAGACAGTTCGTTCTGTTGATTTAACTGTAACAGGGGTCTCGTGACTTTAGCCGTACCTGGTAAATATGGTTCAGACTCCTCTCTAGTCTAATGTTGTTGCTCTTCAATGGTTTTGTGGAAAATATTCCCAGCCTGCCTCATGTCAGTTGGGTTCCCAGTTTTCTTCACTGCCACATAAAAGCTATTGTTTTACCAGCAGGATCCTACTGTGTTCGTTTCTGAGAGTTTCCCATGAGCACATTCCTTCTGGAAATTCACAGGCATTCACCAGCCCCACAAGAAAACTATTGACATTTTGCACTGGGTGAAAATTAAATGTTGGCATTACTTGGTTCATCTGGGTTGTTTCATCTTGCCTCAAATCAAAATGAAAAACTAACCTTTTTTAAATTATTAAATCAGCACTCCACCTGTGAGACTGTGTCGCTTGTGTTCCAGAAAGAGGGGGTTATGTCTGTGAGTGATAGACTAAGATGAATTTGTTACAACACAAAAAAGAAATAAAATCAAGGCAACTACCAGCATAAATTAAATGCATAGAATCTGGGTACAATGAATACATAAACCCAAGCTCTCAAGAATGTTAATGTTCTGTCTGCTTCCTCTTCCATTACCACAGAAACCAAATGACCGTGACCACAAAGTGAAAATAGCCCTGGGAAATGGCTTAAGGGGAGATGTGTGGAGAGAGTTTATCAAGAGATTTGGGGACATCCATGTTTATGAGTTCTACGCTTCCACCGAAGGCAATATTGGATTTCTGAATTATCCAAGGAAAATTGGTGCTGTTGGAAGAGCCAACTACCTACAAAGAGTTAAGTACACTGAAAAATGAACTCAGGTATAGCTGGCTTTCAGAATGGAGTCCTTGAAAGCTGTACCACATTGTAACATCCAAACCATGCCCATCTGTCTCACCAAGAGATATCTATTCTCTCTTTGGGTGGCCCTTTTGAGGTCATCTCATACTCGTAACAACTCATTATTTTTAACATCCGAAACCTGTATGACGTCACCCTCCCTTCATTCATACTTGTACATGGGGAGAAAAACTTGAAGGTTACCTTTCCCTAAGTTTCCTTTAGTTGATGAGTGCATAAAAATCACAGGGAGGGTTTTTATATACCGGGTGTGGGTTCCCAACCTCCTGGCTCTGGATCCAATTGTTCTGAGATAAGGCCCTTGGTGCTTTTAGAAACTGCCAGGTTAAGAGCAGCAGCCCAGACCTTCAGTGATTTGCCTGTCTCTGCCTCCCAAGTGCTGGGATTAAAGGCATGTACCACCAATGCCCAGCATTATTTATATTCTTTAGACCTTAGTTTCCCACTGCACACTAGCTGAGTGGCCCCAGGAAGTTATTTACATTCCTTGGGCCTCAGTTTCAACATCTTAAAACAGAGAGAGATGAAAAGACTGACTCCACCACCTAGCCCAAACTCCGTGTTAATAAGGGGAGAGACTTGCTGAGTTATTTATTCGAAATCCCTGCTGTGTGGGCATTAAGCCTTCCATTTCTTATACTCTGGTGTGAGCACAGGGCATTCCCAAGTCCAAGGACCCTCTGCAACCATGGCACCAAGCCCACACCATGCAGCTCACTCCCTGACCTCTAGACCTGTGCTGTCCAGTGTGGTAGCTTCTAGCTATATGTAAATATTTAAATGTCAATAAAGCAAACTTTTGAATTCCGTTTATCGCTCACAGTTACAGCTGCCTTGCAAGTGACACTATCCTGAGCAGAGCAGGTGTTTTCACCACCATGAACAATCCTACTGAACCACACTGCTATAGGCTGGGATGTTAGTGTCAGGCCAGCATGAACTATCCCAGCCATGGAGATCAAGGCTAAACACAAGCAAGCCGGCAGTATTGCTACTATTGATGTCAAAAAGAGGATTTTAATGGAAATTTGTTTTCTACAAAACTTCCACTTCCACATGCACATATACACGCTAGCTCTTTACTTCCTCATCCTTTGGTTGCCATGTTTTTATTGTCAGTTTTTCTACACTAACGGAATTCCTTTAAAAAGAAAAAGAAAGCTGGGCGTTGGTAGCACACTCCTTTAAACCCAGCACTTAGGAGGCAGAGGCAGGTGGATCTCTGTGAGTTTGAAACCAGCCTGGTCTACATAGCAAGTTCCAGGACAGGCTCCAAAGCTAAACACACACACACACACACACACACACACACACACACACACCATGTAGCTGGGATGTACCACCACACCTAGCTATGATATCATTTTAATAACTTTATAATCATGCCTGAAATAATTTTTGCTTTGATGCTTAAATATAATGAATAACATGTCCCTGGGGATGAGGGTACCAGTCATCTGATGGTAACATTAATACATTGTTAGATATTTGTAACCTGCCCACCAAAAGATATGCATGAGGGTGATCCTAACAGTTTTATTTATAATAGACCAAAATTTGAAATAATCCAAGTACCCATTAAAAACATCCATTAATAGAATAAAGTGTATATATCTATACAAGGGAAAATTGAATATAAATAAAAAGGGGCTCTTTGTCTCGAGTAGGACTGGAGATGAAGTTCAGAGGTGGGGAGCTTGTATAGCTTGTGCAAGATCTGAGCTCTGTCTCTGGTACTATCCTCAGCAATACCACCGAGAAGAGCAGCAATGTGGGCTGATGTGCACAGACATAGTCACTAAAATAAGACAGACATGCTCACACTTACTTCCAGATTTAAAATTAATAGGTAGTGGTAAAAGTCAGAATGGTGGTTGACTACCTACAAGGGGGCAGAGAGCAACTTTAGTAAAATGAAAATGTTTTATATCTGGATCTGAGCAGTAATTAAAGATGCAAAATTCCACCCATGCTGTGCACTGAAGATGTGTGTGGTACGTATAATGAAGTCATAAAGTAATCATACAAAAACTGCAGAGTTCATTTGATATGCTCAAATTATATTTTTAAATTTTGGCAGAAAGTTGTAACATATGAGCTGATAAAATATGATGTGGAGAAAGACGAACCCGTCCGTGACGCAAATGGATATTGCATCAAAGTCCCCAAAGGTACTATGGACTTTTTGAGCAATTAACTGTACACAAAATTATCCTGATTAAGCAACATCTAAGAACTAACATAGTATTACAAGCTGGTATATTTTATTAAAATTAGTGGGGGGGTTATTGACGTATTCTAATATATATATATAAATTACGGAAGGCATTGGCTTACCGCAACATATAATTATACTTTTAAGCTGGTTGAACACCTTGCTTTTAAGGTACTTTGTGGAAAGGTCTAGACAGCTATGGCAGCAAAGCTTTAAGTAGACCTTTTGTTTATGCTTTTACTCACTATACATTTGTCTAGTTATATACAGGAATCATTATTGTGTAAAAGATTAGCAATAAGATAATTACAGCTGGGTGGCCATGCAGACTAAAGTTTAAAAGTATGTGTCCGTGGCATGTGTGCACTCAGACATGATCTGTGTCTGTTCCTTTTCTTGCTGCTATGGTCAAACACTGGCAGGAAGCATCTTAGGGGAGGACGTGCTTGTCCTGACTCACAGTTGAAAGTGCATAGTTCATCGTGCTGCTGAAGGCATAATGGCAGGACTGTAAGGTGATCGATCACATTGGATGTGCAGTGAGAAAGCAGAGGACAGACAGTAAGTGGAGCCCTACAGTGAGGCACTATTTCATACAGGGTCCACAGCCTTCCAAATAAGCTGGGGACATATCACATTTAAACCTCAGCATGGTATGTATGAATATGGATATAAGAAGTGATGTTTCCCTGCCCGGCTTCTTGTCAGTGGGCTGTCTGCCATCAGTTATAAGGCTGACGATAAAATGTGCTTATCCCCTCACAAAAATCAATAGTAATTTACTCTCTCTATCTCAGGTGAAGTCGGGCTCTTGGTTTGCAAAATCACACAACTTACGCCGTTTAATGGCTATGCTGGAGGGAAGTCTCAGACGGAGAAGAAAAAACTCAGGGATGTCTTTAAGAAAGGAGACCTCTATTTCAACAGTGGAGACCTCCTAATGATCGATCGGGAAAATTTCGTCTATTTTCATGACAGAGTTGGAGATACATTCCGGTTGGTTTCTCTGGATCATTGAGCCCAAAACAAACACACACACACACACTTTGGCCTATTCTTGAGTTGGAATCAGATGCCACTTCCCCAGATACTTCAGTTCGTCATGTCGCTTGCTTGTCATTTTGTCTCCTTAGTCTCTGGGAGAATAAGGAGTGAATTATGAAGTGTCTTTCTACAACACACATAAATGTAAAGGCAGGACACCTTTTGCTTGTTTACAGAGCCCAAAGGCCCCCCAGGTGCTCTGCATGTCCTGCATATTTAGCGGATGCTCTTAGGATAGCGGGGATTTTCACATATTCCTAATCAGACAGGCTTTTTGCTTTTAGATTGAAAATGAGTGCTAATTAATGTGAAGTTGATCTGGTTGAAGAGGTGTGAGATTCAGAGCTTTTTCCCCCTCCCTTCCTTCTGTCCTCTATCTCCATCAAATGGTTTCTCACAAAATCCCGGGGCTAACACAAGGAAGTGTGGAAGTCACTCATGAATCTCCAGCAATGGCTCAGTCCTCCAGCTCATGGCAGAAGCAGCCTTCCTGTGTGAATTCTCTGAGATAGGGACTCTCCAGGCAGCATTGAATGCACTGTCTGATGAAGGTCACTGCCCTTGTGTGAGTGAGTGACTCCAGAAATCACGAACCTTGGCTGACAACAGTAGAAAGGTCAAGGCAGTGAAAGCCAGACTCAACACAGTGCTGGCCACTGCTATGACCTTTTTTTTTTTTTTTAATTGGCTTACAAAAGCAACAGATGTTGTTCGGGAAGTGCCGTAAGTTACCTATACTTTCACCCATCTCGAGAGTCTGCATGATCTTCAGCACTTACTCCATCCTGAAAACTCTCTGGCCCTGGAATTTTATGGCACCCTCACTGAGAAGTTACTTTGGGCAGCTGGGGAGATGGCTAATGCAGTACCAGGACCAGAGTTCAGTCCTCAGAACCCATCTTTACAAAGCTGGGCTTGATGCTGCATGTTTGCAATCTAACCCTAGGGAGACAGAAACAGGCAGATCCCTGAGCCTGCTGGCCAGTCAAGTACCCTAGCCAACTTGTTGAGCTCCGTACTAGTGAAAGATCTTGCCTTTTTAAATGAATTGACAGTGCCTGAGGACACACACTCAAGGTTCTCCCCTGGCCTCCACACACACAAACACACACATATACATATGCACATTATACAAAACATTCACACACACGTATATATACATGAAGGCAGGCACACTTTTGAGAGACCTAAAGGGCATTTTTATAAAATTCTTAATTCTTAATTAAATGAAAAATAGCACCTGGCTAGGCCTTAACATTACGATCTTTATATAATAAAAGTGTGGGGGGGGATTTCTTTTTAACTAAAAGCTTTGTTGTTGTGAGAACTAGAACTACAATTCTGAAATTCTGCTAAATAGAAGCTCGTTAACTGAATTAAATAAGATGTTAAAGTAAAAAAAAAAAGTGAGAGACCTAAATAAAGCTAAAAGAAATTGAGATTTATTCCTGACATCCAGTAATTGTCTTAGCCAACTCTAGATTTCACGTTTGCACACATTGATATCTATTATGTTTTGTGTGACAAGATTGAAATTCCACATTCTATTATCTAGGTCTGTGCCCTTTTGACTCCAACAGAATGCCATAAGTGAGCTGGGGGTTTTAGGGGACCAGTATGGGAATACCAGCCACCTCGCCAAGATCTAAAGGAAACACTAGCCAGAAAGCTAGCATGGTCTCAGCTAACCCTTACTTTTCTCCCAGGTGGAAAGGAGAGAACGTAGCTACCACTGAAGTCGCTGACATAGTAGGACTGGTTGATTTTGTTGAGGAAGTGAACGTCTACGGAGTGCCCGTGCCAGGTATGTAGAAGACACCGTGAATCTATCTGACACATGCAGGCACTGGACAGAATCTTAACAGTTTGACTTGCTGTCTCCCACTGCCTGGAGCGTGAAGCCACTGTCAATCAACCATCAGAGATTAGGGTGCTTCTCTCTGCTCTGTGCACCATTGTCAAAGTAATTCAGTGCATTTGATGTTGGCATGCCTCTGTGTTTTAGCTGCTGCTGAAGGGTGGGTATTTTTCTTATCTGTTTCCTTATGAGTGTATGATGATAATGATGTGATGGAAAGCATAGCCACATCTCAGGTCATAGAGTCTTGACAATTGGTCTGAAAGGAAATGCAGCAGATCCCCAGCTGAGGTAACCCAGGTGTCCATGGGCTAGGGCTAGGGCTAGGGCTAGGGCTAGGACTAAGGTTAGGGTTGGTGGAGCTGTCAGAGATCATGATGCCCAAGGCTGTTATAGCCCTCTCTTAGAGTGGTAGGTATGCTTTTAATTGCTAAATCTTAAAACTTTTCTTAAGTAACTGAGAAAACCTGGAAGGTGGGTTGAAAGCCCAATAGTATTCCTCGAAGCAGAGTCTCAGATAAGCAAGGTCATCATACCCGGAAACTTGGTAAAATTGAAATGTGTCAGGTCTGCCTAGCTCTGCTGAAAGGGTGGGCCCAGGGGACAGTACTTTTTAAAATCTCTGTAGTGACTCTTAAGAACACTAGGCTAGGGGTGTGACTCGGTGGTAGAGTGCCTGCCCAGCACATGCTCACGAGCCCTGAGTTTGATCCCCAGCTTCTCCCCACACAACACACACACACACACACACATACCATTCACATCTGATTCAGACACCATGAAAATGTCCTAGAATGCATGGTGATTGGACAACACTGTGAATATACCAAACACCACTGACATGGTGAGAATGATGAACTTCGTATTTTACACAATTAAAAGAAATACAAGCCATGATGGTGCACAATTGTCTCAGCACGAAATAGGATGAAGCATACATCACTTCAAGGTCAGCCAGAGTTATGTGGTGAGTTCCAGACTAGCTTAGACTATACAGTGAGATCTGATCTTAAAAAAAAAAAGAACATACAAAAATTCCACTGAAGTATGAAAGGCACCAAAGCCTTTGTCAAAATATGATAAATCTCACAATCATCTGGGGAAATCTGTAAATCATTAAATACCAGTGCTAAGGCAGCAGAACTTCTAGAATTGGGATCTAGAAACTGCTGAGTGAGCCTGTCACTTAGGGTTAGCAGTCACTTCCTAGAAGAAGGAAGAGAAGAAAGAGGTCCTCCCTGGACAGCCAGAACAGGGAGCAGCTGTGTTCAGTGCTGCTCAGCAGCCCACCTGAAACAGTTTGAAATGCTCAGGAAGAGGACATCATCCTGGAAAGCCCCCATAGCCAGAGGGATCAGGCATCAAATAGGCTGGTTCCAGAGTTGGGTGGCCATCAGCTGGGCACATAAACATGTAAAAAAAAAATGCTGGACCATCTTCCATCTAAGAATCCTGAAAGAATTCTCACAGCAGTGAAAGATTAGAGATGAACTCTACAGTGCTGCACACAGCCCCGTATTCTCAGTGTCACTCTGATTGCCATTGGCATCCTAGCCGTAGTAGACAGCTAACCTAAGCCTAGAAACACAGCAGGCCCTTCTCAAGGCAGGTATGCATGCACCAGAAGTGAGCCTCAGCCATCACCTTTGCACCAGGGAAGAACGTCTCATTTGGGACTTAGAATGGAGGCATCACACAAGAACAGTCCCAGTCTCCGGAACAGTCTCTAGAATTTCTGGTTCTCAGTAAAACTTTCTGTGTTGATGAAAATATCCAGGGGAGTAGCCAACAGTCACAGCATGGCTGCTCGGTACTTAAAACTGAAAAATGAAATTTTTCTTTCACTTGATTATAATTGACTTTTAGTTTTAGGAACTGTATGCGGGCAGTGGATACTGCCTTAGACAATACAGCACCCATGAATGGACCAGGTCTGATCTCTAGCCCTAGCCTAAACCTTCTTCCTAGAACTCAATTAGTCAAAGGAAACATCTAGGAGTCAGCGCAGCAGCCTGGGGCCTAACAGGCCTACCTTCCTATGAGTCAGGCATTGTCGCTACCAAAGCAAGGAGTCAGAGCTACTAGGCAGTGCCGAATCTCTCTGAAGCACCAGCTCCCCCACAACTCTCCTAGGGATGTTTGAGTTCCTGAGGCAGGTATGAAGGACCCCTTTTTAAAAAGAGTCCTCCTTCAGGTCAGAGGAGAGCTGCATGAGCAAGCACCTCTCTGTTTTAAATGTCCTCTTGTTTTCTGCCTTCTTTAGTGCAGTGGGTAAACACAGTGTCACCATGGGAGAGATTTCAAACGCTGGGGCCCAGGTGACCAAAGACGGCTCCTTCCTCTCTGATTACAGCTAAGTAGTTCAGGGAAGTGGACCTGACTCCCCTGGGTCTGCTGGATCAGGTAGAAAATATGTTAATACCTAATTACCACTGTCCTCACAAGCAAACAATAGTAATTGTTCCAATCACCTCTCCACTAACAGCCCTGCCATGGAGATCAGTTGTCTCTGTGCACTGCACTCCCTTGAGAGTACTAGACGTGAATGGAAGGACACATAACAGCTCACCCCCACACCTGCCTTCATCCTTCTGCCTTGCAGCCTCTGGAATACAAGGAAGGAAAGCTTTTGGGAACTTTGAGTGGAAAAGTCTCAAAGGCAGTGTTTGTGCTCTGAGCATAACAGACCCAACAGTGTAAACTAAGTGACGAACCCAGCTCAGTTATCCATGATGTGGAGCAAGGCTTTTTTGCTGAAGCAAAAACATGAAACAAGCCAGGTGGTAGACACAAGCCTTTAATCCTAGCACTCCAGAGGCAGAGGCAGGCAGATCTCTTTGAGTTCGAGGTCAGCCAGGTGTACAAAGCTACACAGAGAAAACCCTATCTTGAAAAACCTTAAAAGAGAAGAAGAAAAGAAAAGATAGAAGCAGACAAACCAAAAGAAAAAAAATGCCCTTTAGCCACCAATTTAGTCCTTGTCCTACTCAGCTCTGTGTAGCTCACTACAAAGAGCAGTGATGGCCACAAGCATAGGAGCCGAAGCCGAGCTGCCTGGATCAGTCTCTGATGCTGCCTGGTCCTTGCTGTATGTCCTTGGACAAGTTGTTATACACCTTTAAGTCTCAGTTTCTTCAGGTTGTTGCTGTGGTTGAGAATACACCGAGTATAGGCCGTGGCAACTGTTAAAGAGTCAACATAGCTCTATTATTAGTTTTATTGCTTAATTGTTGGTTAACATTTTTAGTAATCCTGCATTTATCAGAATAATGTGGACATATGTGTTTGAAATAAAAACTAGAACTATTCAAAAGGAACCTAATGTTTCTTGCTGTCGCAATCCATAGTTCTTTGACCTGGCAGAGCCTTGTGAATAAAATTACTAGCTAATGCTTTCTCACTCTTTTCCCAGGTCATGAGGGTCGAATTGGGATGGCCTCGATCAAGATGAAAGAAAACTATGAGTTCAATGGAAAGAAGCTCTTTCAGCACATCTCGGAGTACCTGCCAAGCTACGCGAGGCCTCGGTTCCTGCGAATCCAGGTGAAAAGACTGACCAGTTCACTTCCCTCCCAGGGACCTTCTCAGGGAGCTGCCCCTTCTTCCACTGCCAGTGGGCAGTGTGGACACATATCCATCAGCTCTCACAACAAAGGAAGCCATCAGGCTACCAGTCCCCACCATCTCCACCCTAGCTCTTCCTCCTAACGTAAAGCACAACTGACACGGAGATTGTCTGATCTTTTTTCAGGATTCCATTGAGATCACTGGGACTTTTAAACACCGCAAAGTGACCCTGATGGAAGAGGGTTTTAACCCCACAGTCATCAGAGATGCCTTGTATATCATGGACGACACAGCGAAAACATATGTGCCCATGACCGAGGACATTTATAATGCCATAAGTGATAAGACTCTAAAGCTCTGAATATTCCAGGGGACCATCTCATAACATTTCCAGGAGAAACTCAATAGACCTAGCATAGTCATTCGATATAATCCAACTTTAATTTGATTGAAGATTCTAAGGTACAATTGTTTTAGGAAATTATTCACTAAGAGAAGGACAGTTTTTCTTTTCTTTCTTTTTTTTTTTTTAATTACACCTGAACTTTGCAAGTAAAAAGATTTAGAAACAATTATTTTCCAATGTGCGTCTGCCATTTGTCCTTGCAAACTAAGCGTTTTGGAGGAAGGGCGTTTTTTTTAAAAAGCGTAATAAACTTATTAACACTAACATATGAAACATTGCTGTCTCTTGTGTTTCTTCCTCTATTCTAAGTGAAAATTCTACATCTTTTATTCCAAAACAGAGAGTGCCATTGGCCACAGGTGTCCTACTCATGTTGGTAAAAAGTGGCAGAGAGGGAGGAAGACCAGCAGTGAACAACGCAGTGAGGGCTGGAGAGGTTGCTCAGAGGCTAAGAGCTCTGGCTGCTCTTCCAGAGGTCCTGGCTTCAATTCCCAGCACCCACATGGTGGCTCACACCATCTGTACTGAGATCTGGTGCCCTCTTCTGGCCTGCAGGCACACATGCAGGCAGACCACTGTAAACATAATAAATCTTTTTAAAACACACACACAATGGGAATCTGGCTCCAGAGTATGGGGCCCACCTTCACCTCCCATAATCATCCTAGCTACTGTGCAGGCAGTAACCAAAGGTAGAACTGTCAACTTGGTGCTTAAATGCACTGTCTTGGTTACTTTTTTTACTAGCCAACTTATAAAAGAAAGCATTTAATTTGGAGGTTCACAGTTCCAGAGGGATAGGGTCTATAACCATCGTTGTGGGAGCAGCATGGCAGCAGGCCAGCAGGCAGGGTGCTGGAGCAGCCGCTGAGTGCTGACATCTGATCGATAAGCCTGAGGCAGAGAACTCACTAGTGGGCTTTTGTTGTTCTCACTCACACCATCGCTGGTACCTAGGCCTGGTATATCCAAGTCCTACATTTAAAAGATGTTCAGGAAGTATTTTTCCGATACTTCAAGGGTTACAAGGGCATTTGCCCCCAGGATTCATGTAGAAGATGTAGGGAAAGAAACAACTCACCGGAGAAAGTGGCAAACATTGGGATAGCCACTGCCTGGCTTGCCATACAGAAGTGTGGGCAAACATGGGGGACAGCTGTCCCAGCCGGGTATGGGAGTCCCTGGGATGAGGGTTCATGAAGACTAGGTGGATAAGAATTTGCTGGTGACAAACAGAAACAAACACAGAGGCAGTTTGAATCTGAGTGTATTTCGTAGGTTTTAAGCAAGGCTTTTTATAATGAAAAAAAAATATGTATTATCTCGGGTTGTATTTAGTGAAGCAATACCCAGATGGCATCATCGTTATTAGGCATAGTATCATATAATTTATCCAACAATAACTCAGAAAATCATTCAGGGCTAACCATAGATAATTGCCTAATTTTAGATCAGGTTAATAAGTTTCTATGGTCATTTATTGTTTGACATCTGTCATCTAGTTTATAATTGTTTGATATCTGTTATCTAGTTTGTGTGTCTTTGAAAGAGATATTTTGAATCTTTCATTTATTAAAAAGCTTTCTTTATCAAACATTTAAACCCATTTTCAATTATATATGTACAGCCATATAAAATTTTATTGTTGGGAAAGTTTTTATCAATGTTATTATCATTTATTTATGTGAATGATGTGGATGATTTTGAAAAGCACTGGTTTTCCCAGAGACAAGATCTCAGGGAATGATTTTTCATTTATATCTTTTGTTTGAGATGTTAGTGAAGGGTTTTAGGAACATTTTGCTAATATGAGAAAAGAATAGAAGAGCAGAGATTGTCATGAGAATTATGGCTTTTTTTTTTTTCCTGCCAAGAGTTTCATAAACTTTTAGGAGACCTCTTTTTTTTTTTTTTTTTTTTTTTTTTTTTTTTTTGAAGTTATAGCCTTAGTCTGTGGAATTTGTCATATAGAATTTATTGGATTGGTGTGGAATCTCTTTTTTTTTTTTTAATTGAAGCTCATAGGTATCTCTTTTGGCTGTAGAAATGGAGGAAAAGACTAGTAAGAAGACGACTAGAAGAATAAGGAAAAGAAGAAGAATTATTCCTGAAGCCATGGCAACAATAATAACCTAACGCAGCCAATTAACAGAAATTAATGAGCTAAATCCTCTAAACCAGTAGATTCCATATGTGTTTTATTCATAGTAGAGATTTGGGTTTGTAACTGAGCCATATTATGAACACCTTTATCATCTGTGTTAAGGCGATTAATGGTAAATAAAGCATGACTTAATAATTGACGAGGCAAGTAGTAAAGAGTTTTAGATTTTAATATTTGAAGCTGTTCCTTAAGATTTTGATGAGTCCTTTTAAATGACAGTCTGACCTTTGGGATTGTAGGGAATTTCCATTATATGTTCTATATCCCATTGAATGTAAAACTTTATAAAAGCTTAAGAAATATAAGCTGGAGCATTATCAGTTTTAATTTTTCTTGGCACATCTAACAAGGAAAAGCATATAATAAAATGTTGTGTGACATCTTTCACAGCCTCACCAGTTTTTGCAGTGGCCATGACCATGTGAGAGTAAATGTCTACAGTAACATGTACATAACCAATTTTCCAAATTCTGGGATATGAGTTACATCCATTTGTCACAAAACTTGAGCCCCTTGGGTTACTCCCATTTTTAATGGATGATATACATCAGGACAATGTTCACGGTCTTTCATCATTTGTATAGCCTGTTCTCAAGTCAAGTTGAACATCCTTCTCAAGGCCAGTGCATTCTGATGATATAAAGCATGACTTTCTAATACTGGTTCCACCATACTAGTGATAAAGTGGTCCTTTGTTAATAAATCAGCCATAGCATTTTCTGAAGCCAATGGACCTGGCAGGCCAGTGTGTTCTCTGATATGTCCTATAAAAAATCGTTTGATTAAATTATATTTTTTACAATTGAAATAAGAGTGATACAATTTTATAATTTTCAGAACTGTCTCTACATCAAGAAATAAATGAACTACATATTCTGAATCTGCATAAAGAGTAAACTCTTTAAGTATGTGTTTAAGGGCAGTAATAATTGTTATAATTTCTGCCTGCTGTGCAGAAATTTTTTGACCTTTTAATAATTACAGGTTTATCTTTTATATAGACAGCTGAAATTTCATTGGATGACCCATCTGTGAATACCAAAAGGGCATTGGAAATACGTTCCAATGCTATTTTTGAGGGGAAAATTATCTCTATATCTTCTACAAACTTTAATATAGGGTGTTGAGGTACATCATATTTGACTTGTCCCATATGATAAGCTAATGCAGTCCCCCAATCATCTGTGTTATGAAGTAAATATTTCAATTGTTTTTTATTATAAGGAATTGTAATTTCTTGCATTTCTTTGCCAAACAATTCCCTGGATCTCATAAATTTAATTTAAAATCTCTCAATGTCTTTTTTGTAATCTCCAAAGTAAGTACCCTTTATGCCTTTAAAACTGTTATCACCTGGGTGACTGTTAAATTACAAAGTTTAGCATTCTTGTGTATAGGGGTATACATCAGAAAACATAGACAAAACTTTTTATCAGAACAAGCATACACAACTTTCCTGAGAAATAAACAAAACTTTTTAACCAGAATTAATCTAATATGGTCAAAATTTTAACTTATATTACCTATTTTTAAAATTTAGTATTTGTAGGTATGAGAAACCATAGCAAACACAATTCACATTTCCCTCTGACTTTTTACAACTTTTTATATACCTTTAGTTTTTCCTCTGATTCCCTTAGACATTCTTACTTTAGACAAATTTCTCTTTTCCTTTTTTTTTATTTTAATCTCCTATCTTTCTTTTTATTTCTTAGTTAACATAAAAACTTTTACCAAAGTCCTTCTTGTGGTTTCAATAATTTTAAGCTTGCATTAACACATTAAATCCTGTACCAGTGTGAAGCGTCTGAGAATAATATGTACCAATTTTCTTAAATGATGACAAGTAAAACCCATGTTTTTCTTTTCCTATGGAAACAAAAGCGTAATTTTTTCCCAAACATAATGTATTTTTGACTTTTATTTTAAAGTCAATGCTCTCAAAGTATACAGACTGGCATAATTTAACATTTTGTTTTTAAGCAGTATCAGGACAGAGACGTATTAAGGAGGGAAGCTACTGGTGGACACATTGTCCTTGGCTATCAGTGTTCTAGAAACAATTTTTTTTAATATTTCCAGCCATAATCCTAGATTATCTGTTTTACGTTCTTTCAATGAGTCAGGCAGAGACCTAGAGGGTTGGAAGGTGTCTGTCCCTCATTAGATTTCGTCCATACCATCAGTGTGTTCAAGACAAGACAAACAAACAAACACAGAATTTAGAGAAAAGGAAGGGGTCATCTCAAAGACCCGCAAGTTTTAGATTTGCAGATGGGAGGCAAACTCCCCAGTAGCTATTTAGATTCAGACAGAAAGATTCCTACCCAAAAGAAAGGCTGAGATGTTTCTTAGGCTCCTCCAGATCGGACCTTTTAGGCACATGGTCATCGGCCAAGGTCTGACCTGTTTCCTACATATTGTCTGCCAAAAACATAAAATCACAAAAACATGAAATCATAAACCTGTCACAGAACTTAGGATACAGAATTTGTCAGGCCATCATAACAGACAACACAGAACTCACCAGACCAGTTAGAGCCTAAGCAGGCAGAGGACCCTGACAGAAGTAGAAACCTGCCTAACTGGTCACCCAATTGGCTGGAGACAAAACACAAACCAAAGCTCTAAGAGCCAAAAACAGAAAGCAGAATTTGCCTAGGCAAAACAGAAATCTGACAGACAAACATAGGAGTATTTCAAGGACTATTAGAAACTTTAATATGTCCTTACTGTGGTTGTTCTACAAGTTGTTCTAAAGCCTGTATCTTTTCCTGAGTTAGGGCCATTGATTCATCCAAACAGGCTCATTATTGATCCATGAAATTTTATCTTTATATAATTCATCAGCGGCCCCTATAAAACATGTTGATCATTCTAGATATATATATACATGTATGTATGTATATATATGTATATATATATAATTTTTTTCTCATTTTACATACCAATCCCAGTTCCCTCTCCCTCCCATGCCCCCACCTCCCCTCCCATACAATCCCCACATACACACTCCACAGGGAGGGTGATACCTTCCAGAAGGGATCATCAAAATCTGTCAAGTCATTTGGAGTAGGGTCTAGGCTCTCCCTCCTGCCTC